AATTAGGTTACTTCTTGGGATTTTAAGGTGATTGCCACTCTTTAGAATTTCTCCTAGGCATCCCTGAAGATTTTTGTTTTCTCAAGAAAAGTAGAAGAATTTAATATATAACTTCAAATGGCCTATTTTGTTCCTTTACGGTTAGGAGCTGTTTCTGAGAGTAAAACAAGATCTTGCTTCCAGAGATGGGAAACCTAGAACCAGGCTCCAAAGGGTTCCTTTTCTAGCCCCAGGAGCATTTCTACTCCACAATTCCTGACTTGCCAATAGAGACAGAGAAAGGGAACCTGGGGTCTGGAGAGATGACTCAGCAGTTAAGAGCATCTGATGCTTTTCTCAAGGATGGGGTTCAATTCCCAGCACCCACATGTCTATAACTCCAGTTCCAAGGGATTCACACCCTCACACAGACATGCAGGTAAACACCAATGCACATAAAATTAAAATAAAAATTAAAAAGTAGTAATTTAAAAAAAGCAAAGAAGCCAGGCAGCGATAGCTTTAATCCCAGCACTCAGGAAACAGAGGCAGGAGGATCTCTGAGTTCCAGGCCAGCCTGGTCTGTAGAGACAGCCTGAGTTCCAGGACAGCCAGAGCTACCCAGTAAAACCCTGTTTCGAAGAAAACAACAAAAAGAAAAAGAAAGGGAACCTGAAGTAGAGAGTTATGGGACCTGGGCAGGTGGGTTCATCGTGTGAGCATTTTATCTCTAGGTGTGTCTAAGAGGGATGCATCCCTGACGTCCTTTATAGAAAGATGTGGTTCTTTCAGCTCCTTTGGTTAATTATTCTTTAAATTCATTGTGATTGTGGAAACTGGGAAAAAATGTTAGGCTAGTTGCTAAAGCAGAAAGAAATGTCATTCCTCCTCACATGGAGGTGCAAGAGATGCTTTAGCTGCACAGAAAGCCTGCACTGTCTTACTTGACTGAAATCTGTGATTTGGGGACACAAGAACTAGACCTCAGCTTGTTTTCTAGCAGACACAGGGAATGAATGAGAATAAATGAACTCATTTTTCAAGGAAAGTAGCTATAACCTATTGCCTAATTTCCATCAGGTGATGAGGTGGAAACCTAGATCAGATGTAGCCATGCATCAAGGTAGAAAGCCTGAACTCCCCAAAGCTACCCGGAGAGGCAGCTACCCGGAGGCCATGTGCCTGCACATTTCATACTTGTTAATCCTCTGCTGTTTCCAGTTTAAGGAGTTGTGAACCTTCATTTGATACATAGCTGCATGAAAATGGAGGCGGTAGGTAAATAACTTCCCCGGTGTGACACGTGTTTTTCAAGAAAAAACTCTGGCTCAAGTCATTCCCCACATTGCTAGGATGCAGTCAGTGGCACATTTCCAGTTCACTCCTTTGAGCCAGCAAGTTTATCACATAAACTAGTCAGATTCTTTAATAGTTAGACCACTTGACAGACTTGGATCAATAAGTAAAGCAAGCAAGCAATTTGATGTCCAGCTAGTGCCTTATTCTTCCTGTCAGCTGTCCAAATGCCTACTCACCTCCTTTTGCACATGTTAATCACACATAATTAGGAACCTCATTATGACCTTTTCATATGTGCATGCAATATGATGTTACTTTGATAATTTTTATATTTATCCCAGAACTCTTAACCCTCTTGCCTCTACCTCCCAAGTGCTGGGATCACAAACACCTAGTTTATGTGGTTCTGGGCCTTCTTTCATGCTAGCCAAGCCCTGTACCAATGGAGCTACATCCCCTCCCCCTTTTACTATGTTCTTATCCTACATCCCGTTCCCACATCCTTGGTAGTTCATTTTTTGTTTTCATGTTCTTTGTCTTCATTCTCTTATTTATCAAAATGCCTTCCACACTGAAGTTCCCTTTTTTCATTTTGTTTTTTAAAATGCATGCAGTTGTTTGGTCTTGAAAAGAACAGCCACAGGGACAGTAGTATAAAGAAGAGATGTGGATGGTGAGACCTAGGAATAACTTAGAGGAATGCCCCAACCGGTCAGTTGATGAAGTTTTTCATTAGATAGTTCCAAAGTGAAAAGGTTGGGAGGAATTCTTATTTGTGGTTTTATTTTGTTAGGTGTTAATCAGCAGAATCTCTGAGGCTTGTAATGCATGCTGTTAACAGGCACCAGGGGAAATTGCTTCTTGTTGTTGTTGCTTTTGTGGTTGAATTGTATGGGCTGAAGATTCATTGGCTCCAGGAGGTAAGCTTATTACTGCATGAAACGGGAGTGTGCGTGACAGTTGTGAAGGTAAGGAGAGAAGTTAGTGTGAAGTTAAATAACTAAACCTCAGACAGACTATGTGTCCACTGACACGTACTACTCAGTGATGCCTTCTCCCTTCTCAGGGGCCATTGTGTTTAAGGTTTCTATTAAGAATGTTTAAAAGCACAGAATGGTTCCCATTTATAATCACCAGATACCTAGGAGTATGCTCTGTAGTGTGTCGTATAGTGTGTCACAGGGTGGTCTAGGAAAGCAGAAATTGCTTAAACAAAGAAAACCAGATAAAGATTTAGCTTAATGGTAATTCCTAGCAAAACACACACACACACACACACACACACACACACACACACACACACACCACTACCTACCCACCCACCCACCTACAAGGCAAAATAGTTAGGTGGTATACAAGAAAACTTGAAAGAAATTTTAGAGAGGAAATCCAACCAAATGAAAAAGCTGGTACTTAAAAGGGATTGTTTTCTTACAGAAGTAAATGGAAGAATTGAGGTTTTGTTGGTTGATTGGTTGGTTGGTTTTGGTTTTTTGTTTCTTTCCAGAACTAGGTGATCTAACAGGGTCTTACACATGCCCTGTATTTTTGAGACAGTCTCATTAACTCAGACTGGGCTTACATCCTCTAGCCTACTCCTCAGCCTCCTGAATGCTGGAATCATGTTGTACCACAGTGCCCAGTGGGGACTTAGAGCCACACCCTTAAAGAAAATTCACTCTCCTTCCCCCAGAAACCATCATGTGTCCACAGCTCCTCAGTTAGGAGTTGGGACTCAAGAGCCCCTTCCATTCCGTGCTGGAGTATTGAGTGGCTGCTGTGAGGTCAGAAGGTGTGGCTGAGAAGAAGCTGTTGGCTCTCATTCTCCCTGGTCTTCCCACCTCTCTTCTGAGGCCCTTGATCTTCACAGAGGGGCGCTGTAGATGTCCACTTGCGGCTGAGCACACGGTTGGCGCTGATTGTCTGGGCTTGACCGATTGTGAGTTTCCGCATAGATGGTATACCCTCCACCAGAGAAACTTCTCTGAGGAGGTCTGAGAACTATACTAATCTGGGGGTAGAGATACAAATTTGTAGGGTACTTTGGCATTAAGTCCTATAGTGGTGGGTTCATCCTGGGACTTGAGAGCTCTCCAACCTTGGGTTCTTGATCAGGTTTATAGTACTGGGCATGTGTTTCCTTTTGTGAGCAGGTCTTTATATCCAAACAGAAAGTAGTTGGTTATCCCTATAACATTCATGCCACTGTTGTACCTGTGGAACCTAATTTTAAAGTAGGCTCTCTCCCTGAACCTGCAGCTTATTATTTTTCACTTTGCTGGCTGGTGGCCAACCCCATCTCTGCATCTCCTCCCCCTAGTATTGGGGTTTCAGGGTCACATAAGTGTGCTCAGCTTTTATTCTGGTGCTGGAGCTCTGAACTCAGGTTCTCACACCTGTTTAACAAGCCCTTTCCCCCCAGCTCCTCAGAGACTTTGTGAGATGTAAATTTAACAAGCTGTGGTGAGTTTGGATGTGAACAATCGATAGACAGGAAACGTTTGAAAGTGATACTCTGATTTTGGTCTCAGTCCTGGAATTTAAATTTTGTTTTGAAACTGCACACTAGCAAGCAGGTCTGTAAAACTGAACTTCTTCAGTGGCCATATGCAGTCTACATGCTGGTCCAGCTTCACTGAGCACCCACGCTGTACTCCTCATTCTAACTGGAGCCCCAGGCCCCAATCGGGCAGCCCTGGGTACTTTTTCATCAAGGAATCTCAGCATGACTTGGTTTTTCACCTAGGTGCTTTTCTCTGTAGCTTGTTTCCACATCAGAGGCATTTGAGTGTATTCACCAATAATTGGGTGGGGGGGGCTTAAGACAGGGTTTCTCTGTGTAGCCTGGCTGTCCTGGAACTCACTCTGTAGACCAGGCGGACCCTCGAACTCACAGAGATTCACCTGCCTCTGCCTTCCAAGTGCTGGTATTAAAGGCATGAGCCACAGCACCCGCCTTCAATAACTTATTAAATCCTTCCCATTTCAGTTTCCAGTTCATTCCCACTTGTAAGCGCATGTTTAGGAAGAGGATGGTTACCCTTGTTGTAATGCTGTGATAAACACCAAGACCAAAGGCAATTTGAGGAGGAAAGGGTTTATTTCATCAAAGCAAAGTCAGGGCAGGAACTCAAGGCAGGAATTTTGAGGCAGGAACTGAAACAGGCCGTGGTGTTCCGCTTACTGGCTTGCTCATCTCTTACTATCGGGCATGCTTTTCTTTCCTTCCAACTTTAATTTTTATTTCTGTATGTGTATGTTTGCCTATTCTATGTGTGCATGCCAGGTGCATTCAGTGTCCTCAGAGGCCTGAGGGAATCAGATCCTCTGGAATTGGAGTTAGAATCAGGTGTGTGCTACCCAGTGTGGTTGCTAGGATCGGAACCTAGGTCCTCTGTAAGAACTGCAAGCACTCTTGACCATTGAGCTATCTCTCCAGTCCCCATCATGTTTTCTTGCACTATTGAAGGTCACCTCTCCATGGTGGCACTGCCTGTCAGTGTCATGGGCCCTCCCACATCAATTTTAGTCAAGAGAATACCCTGCAGACTTACCTACAGGCCAATCGGATGGAGGCATTTTCTCAGTTGAGTTTCTTCTTCTCAGATAACTGTAATTTGTGTCGAGTTGACAAAAACTAACCCAAGGCAACTCACTCCTTATTAGCTAGATTATCATTATCTTTCATCTGGGACCATGTTAATGTTAATTCTTTATTTCAGAGCCATCATCAATCACTTTAATCCCAAAATTGAGTCGTACGCTGCTGTGAATCACATATCTCAACTCTCAGAAGAGCAGGTAAGTCACTCCTCTCCCAGGGATGATCTCGATGGTGGTAAAGATCAAGTAACTGTCTCCTTCTGGTAATGGGACTCTGTAGTGGAGCCAGACTGCTGAAAGAGTTAGTTCAAGATCGTTTGCCAGTTCTTTAAATAGAGTAATACCTTCTTCGTTTGTGCCATCTGAAGGATTTGTGTAATTATATAGAGAGTATGAGGGGAAACTTGATGAGTTACTGTCTTACAGCAGGTGATAAAAATACTACTTTTTAAGCTCTCAGTCACAGTAATTTTGATTTCTGAAAGTCAGAAATGTCAACATGATGATGAACACCTGTAATCCTAGCACTTGGAAAGGGGAAACAGGAGTTCAAAGTCATCCTAGGCTACATAGTGATTTCAGGGGCAGCCTGGGGCTTCATGCCACTAAAACCAAAAAAAAGTAAGGCATGGGAACTTAGAAATGAACATAAATTCCAGCCACAGGAAAACTTTGAGTTCAGCTTAATCTGAAGGTATGTGGCTCATTACAGCCACATTGAGATAGATTTTCGTTAGTGATGGAGTTCTCTCTCCCTTGAACAGTTATGTCTGGGCAGGTTTTTCTATGGTAGTGTCTGAATCAAACATGCAGATAGCCTTGTACCTTTGTTGCCCTTGAATCTGGCCTGATCCCCATTCTCCCTCATTGCCTGTACTCAGCTCTGCATTATGTAAAATACAGATGGGGCTTCAGTATGGCATGGAATTGAGCCTGATGTTTCCTATGGCATGGAATTGAGCCTGATGTTTCCTATGGCATGGAATTGAGCCTGATGTTTCCTATGGCATGGAATTGAACCTGATGTTTCCTATGGCATGGAATTGAGCCTCATGTTTCCTTCTGAGGCTCTTTTTCTTTTTAAATAAAGGTGGGTTTTGTTGTTGTTTTGTGGGGGCAGTTTTGTTTATTTGTTTTTTTTCCCACGACAGGGTTTCTTTGCATAGTCTGATTTACAGAACTAGCTCTGTAAATCAGGCTGGCCTCAAATTCACAGAAATATCCTGTGCCACCACTGCCTGACTTAAATAAGGGTCTTTATTAGAGTAGTAATTGATAAGTGTATAACTGTATATAAAACTACTGTTTACAAAGGAAAAAAGGTGTGAAGCCAGGGTCTTGTAGCCTGTGTTGGCCATGTGACTGCAGCTCGTATAGCTAAATTCACTGTGTAGCCTTCGGCCCTGCCTTCTCCTCCCAATGCAGCTTCGCCCCGCCTTGCTGTCCCATTCTGAGGATTCTGAGTCTTGTATCAAAAAACTGATGAGGAGATGGCTCAACTGGGTGATGTGCTCACTGCTCAAGCATGGGAACCTGAGCTCAAGCCCCCAGGATACACACAAAGAGCTCTAGACACACCTGCAAGCACATCGCTAGGAAGGCAGAGTTAGGGGGATCCCTGGAGCTTGCTGGCCAACAAGTCTAGTTGAATAGGTGAGCTCTAAGTTCAGTGACAGCCCCTCCCAACACCACACACACACACACACACACACACACACACACACACACACACACACACACCACAGTAGAAGCAGTTGTCTGTGAACCTCTGTGTTTCACATGCACTCACTTGCACACACCCACAGTAAGTAAACACATGGATGCCCAATTCGCCTTTGCTGCTTCTCATTGTTCTGTTGGAAAAGCCAAGGAATACATTCCAAACTAGTGAAACCATGTATGTTCTGCTCTCCTTCTGAGTTTTGCTGGCAGGACCAGCCAGCAATTGTATGGTGACCGTGTGTTCCTGTGTTCTTGAGAGCTGTTCAGTTCACCCAGTGAGGCAGCAGGCAAGCGTTTCCTAACAGAACCTTCTCAGTACTCCCCCCAGTGGCACTTTCTATGCGTCTGACAGTTGTTCCTTTGTTCCTTTGAATACTTGTTCTCTTTTGTGAAGCCAGCTGTGTGACCCCACCCTAATACTTAGAGCTGCCTTTACAAATGGCTTTCATTTCTTTTTCCTCTGCCTATGGAGCAGAGCAGATTCCTGTTCTTTTGATACTGGAGCTGTGTGTCAGGTATTTATTGACACTCCCTTTTCCTGTTGGACCAGTTCATCTCAATTCTACTGCTGTATTTTTATGTGGAACATTCTGTGTATTGTGCTCTGTGTGTTAAGGGAAGGGGATGCTCTGACCACTGTAAGCTCTGCATAGCCTGAAAGCCATTTCTCTCCAAGTAGCAGCCACCATTGCTGTGCACGAGGAAGTCGGAAAAGGAAAGATTAACAAGCTATATCCTCACCCTCTTTCGTCTTCTTTCAAGGTTAAAAGTGAAGTCAGGGTTTTCTGAGTCCACAAGCCAGAAGTGAGGCAGTTGCTCGGAAGGGAACTCAGTGCTGGGGTAGAGTGTTTGTCTAGTATGTATTGGGTCCTGATTTCATTCCCAGCACCACCCAAGTGGGAGGGGCCCTCGGTGATCTGTTCACGCTGTAGTTACGTGTAGCCTGTGATTACAAAAGGGCAGGCAGGGTCACTGGTGCAGTCATAGAGTCGTTGTGTGCTCATATGCTCGTCACTGCTAACAGGGTACTGTTATCCTAGGACTCCGCTCTCAAAATAGTCATTTCTCTCCCCCAACTGCCTCTGAAGGCTGCTAACTGATAGCATTATAGTGCACTTGTTTTTATCAGATTAGAGGCATCTGACTGCCTGTCTATCTCCCAAGTGTGGAGTACTTCTCTCCCTTCACTTAGGAACATTAATACTAATGTCACAATGTCAAGAGTATTTGCAGCTTCCCAAAGAGCTGGCTTTAGGGGCAATAAGGCCCCACAGCTGTTAGCAGCTGTCTTAGTAGGGACGGAAAAGGGAACACACCGCGCGCGCGCGCACACACACACACACACACACACACACACACACACACACACACACACGGATTAAAATCCCTGGTAGATTCTAAAATATAACCTCAAGTCTGTTAGTGGATGTTAGCTAGGATTTACAGCATTTAGTAAGTTAGGCAGATAGAGCAGGCTCTTTGCTACTCTGCCTGCCCAGCTTCTCATTTTATTCCTACAAAGATTTGTGAATCCTTGTTTTGTTTTGTTTAAAGACAGGGTTATACTCTGTACAGCTTAGGCTAACCTGGGACTCACTATGTAGCCCAGGCTGGCCTTCAGCTTATAGAGTCATCTTGCTTCAGCCTCTGGTGCCGTGTGTTAGAGACAGGAGCCACTATGACCACCGAGCTTTGTGAAGTTTTTTGAGGATTTATTTATTTTATTAAATTTAAATGTTTTGTATATATGTGGCATTATGGGCCATTGTTGTAGCCCCTCCACTCAGAAGGTGGAGGTTAGAGAGTCAAGAGTTCAAGACCAGCCTTAGCTACTGGATTTTATCTCACAATAATTAAATTATTTCTGCCATTTCTGAGGAGGCAGCCCTCTCTGTCTCTTTCTGTCTCTTTCTCTCTTCCCTTACTCCATAAATTTCCCCCCCATAAACTTTCCACATTAAAAAAAATACTTTTTAAACTAGATGAAATGGCGTAGTTACTCCTTTAATCCCACAGGTAGGCTGGTTTCTATGAGTTCAAAGCCAGCTTGATCTACATAGTGAGTTCTAGGACAGCCAGAGCTACACAATAAGACCGTATCTCAAACAAAACAACAAAGGAGGGGGTACTATCAATAATGAAATTATGAGATATGGCTAATTTCTAGAACATCTTGAAAAAATTACCCTTCAAGCCCATCAACCACCCTCAGCTAAGATTGAGCTCAGGTGTCTCTTCAGTATAGCCTGGAAGTAAGCATCCATTCCTGCTAGGAGAGCCATATGATAATCCAGGACACTTCAGCATCAAGGAAGATAAATCTAAGCCGCTGTCACTGTTGCTCATGTCTACAGCTGGCCTGCAGGAGGATGGATGGTTGTTTGAGGCCGGCCTAGACTACAGAGTCTGGCAGCGTGCATGTCAGCATGAGGGCTCCTGACTCACAGCTCCTTTCCTTGGTGTTCATTGCTAGAACTCTGTCCTTATAAAAGGACCACAGAAAAGTCATCCTTCTAAGTCATCCTGAGTTTTAGTCTCCAGCCCCTCCTTCACCAGTGCCCTGACCCTGTTCTTCATTTCCATAGGACAGTTGTCATATAACCTATGATTTATTGAAAAAATCTTAGTGAACATTTTATCTGTACTAAATTAATGTGGGCTGAAGACATACAATAGAAGCTCCTCCTCCTGTACCCAGGCTTCACACACTTGATCAAGCAAGTACCCTGCTACTGAGCTACATTCCCCAGACCCCTTGCTACTTTGGTTGGTTAGGTTTGGGAGGTTTTGTTTGTTTTTGTTTTTGTTTTACTGTTTTGGGGGGGACTTGGTTTTGTTTTGGTGTAGTTTTTTGAGGCAGGGTTTCTCTGTTTAACTGCCCTGGCTGTCCTAGAACTCACTCTGTAGACTAAGCTGGCCTGAAGAACTCACAGAAATCTGCCTGCCTCTGCCTCCCAAGTGCTGGGATTAAAGGTGTATGCCATCACTGCCCCAGCTGCTTATACTGTTCTTTAACTTACCCTCTTACCCAGGCAAGCTGCAGCCTCCTGCATGCCTGGGAATACAGGCCCGTGTCAACAGATATTACTTGATGTTTAAGAGAAATCCTTAAGGGCTGGAGAGATGGCTCAGCAGTTAACCAGTACTGGCTGCTCTTCCCCGGGGATCCAGGTTCAGTACCCACATGGTAGCTCACAACCACCTATAATTCCAGTTCTAGGGGACCTAGTGCCCCTTTGTGACCTGTGTGGGTACCAGGCATGCATGTGGTACACAGGCACATATACAGACAAATATCCATACACACAACAAGATAATTTTAAAGAGACTGCAATTGATGGTTTAAACATGAGAAGTCCTATTAAAGCCAGGGTCTCTGCAGTCATAGTGGTCAGAATAGATAGGGAGGAAAGATAGGAGTTAGATAAAATCAGAGGCATAAATTGTAAAATATACTCACAACTAGAACCTGTACA